GGCAGGAAATCTTTCCATCTCTCATCAGCAAACAGATTTCAGTGAGGATCAGCTTCCTGCTCCAACCAGCGCTTACCCAGGCAAAGGCAGACCTGAATCACTGCTGTATCCACAGCTCCATCCAAATCACTTTTCCCCATAGTTCTGTGTGACAACGCTATACATTTTATGCAAGCAAGACATAACACCATGGCTAGGTATCATCCCTGAGAGATGCCTGTTGAATAAGCGAGTGAGAAGAACACTACAGCCTTCAAAGTGCTTCTCTTGACTTGACTGAGAGCTAGAATAAAGGTCCAGGTCTCAGAGGAGACTGACAAGCCATCTGGCTGGTCCAGAAGCACAGCAGGTCCAGACGACCTTCCACCAACCTCAGAGTGCTGATCTGCTCACTGTGACCCACAGGGAAGGAGAAGGCAGGGGCAAATCCACCAGAGAGAATGTCTCATACTCTCCTTAAATCATAATTAAGCCAACAACAAAAGCTGTGTATGAGTTTCAGATGACGATCTGCTGTACCACCAGCAGCAGCATCTCCAACCTTGCACCCTGACTGCCAGCAGCCAAGCACACAGCCCACTGTCCACACAGGAAGGGTGCCTCCTCCCACAGCCTTTGGAGAGGAGTTTGGACTAATGAAACTTTTGGTGACGGCCTCTGCACTTCAGGGTGCAGACCCTTTTGACTGCAATAAGGTAGGTACAGCTTCCAGACAGCACTGATGCTCATGGACCCATCTGCAATGGTGGCAGACATCCAAATGTGCAGGTGTCCGATCTGCTCGCCAGCCCAGACCTCTAAATAACTTTGGAGGAATCTCTTCTGAATCATTCTGCAGCTTTTAAATGTGGACTTTCTAGTCCACTAATGCCTAGACTAGCATTTCATTCATGGACATGAAAACTAGTCCTGATGGGGACCAAACACCTGCCCTGATTTTTTTTTGTTTTTCTTTCCTTCTTGGGTTGTATTAATGCATCAAAGGCTCTTAGTGTTACATTTGGCAAGCAAACACCTTGGAAGGGAGCCAGCTTAACCACCTTCGGAGGGAAGGAAAATACATTTAGATTTCAGGAGTAGCTCCACTTTGACCTTGAACAAAACTTGCTCAGACTAATAAGGCAAAAAACTAAAAAATCCCAAAACAAACACAAATTGCATGGAGTCTCATGTGTGTACATGCAGGTTGCTTGTGACAAACACAGGCTCCAGTAACGTACCTTGCCTATTTCACTCTGCAGCTTGTACTGGTTTAATTGCACGCAGTCCTGTAGATCAAAAGGAGAACATAATTAGAGTATTGGTAAAAGGAAATGACTGAGTTTGAATCAGTATCAAGTAGAGGCTGAGTGCTGAATAATGAAAAACTAAATCTTATTTAAGCCAGTATACATTACACTGTAAGTACTGCTTTTTCGGTTTTTTTGACAGCCCAGGACAAAGCAATTATGGGCTGAATTTTGACTCTCTTTGTGTTGGTGTGATGCCAGAGGCCCCTGCACCCCAATTCCCCAGCATCATTCTTTGTTCAGCCTGGTGAACCTGACAGCAGCCCCTGGCCTCTTTACATGGACAGTCTGCATCAGACTGTGTTCAATACCAAGCAGAAAAACACTTGTCCCCAGCTCCAGGGGTCTTTCATGGCCTCGCAGCTCCCAGCATCCAGGCACCCACACCAGTCCCAGGATTGCAGCATGAGCCCGTACCCATCCCAACATCAGCCTGGCAAAGACAGGGACTCCTCTGTGGGCAATATGTGAAGGCTGGGGCTGCGCTTGGATGAACCCTCAGCTGGACTGCGGGCTGCTCTTTGAGGAGAGCACACTAAGCCAAGCTCCTTTGCAACGCAACACAAACAATTTGGATTCCTTTCAGCCGATACAGTATTTGCCAAAATAAATCACCCCTAAGCAGGCCTGATCTCCGTTTGTAAGCTATCCAGCACTGAGACCCCAAGGGGTAGAAGAGTGGTGGATGCAGACCCACAGCATGCTATGACAAGGGTGTAATGACAGGGTGCTGAGTTACTTGATAGACCAGGAGCCACACAGGGAGTGACGGTGGCCCCAGGCATCACTGCTGGAAGCCAAGGTAGAACAGAGGAGCCATGCAGTCATCTGATGTTAAGTCCACCGTTTCCTTTAGTATCATACTACCTAATGGAAAACACCTTCTTTCACAGCAGCAGCAAAACCTCCATGGTTGCATTTCACTTGGACCTGGCCCCTCCATCCTCACTAATTACAGGACAAAAATCCCAGATGACACAGAAGCCCAGGGGGCCCAAGACCATGAGCACAGGGTGAGCATTGTGCACTGCCTGCACTTAGCTCTCTCTGCAGCTGCCTTGGAGCACCCAGGGGACCTGCTCGGCTCAGCCACTGTGACAGGGTCCACAGGAGGACAGCACACATGGTGCTGCAATGCAAAGCTCCTGGCAAAGGGTCAGAGTGCTCTTGTGGGGATCCCTACAGCACCGGCACTGGAGAGTGTGGGCTGCAGTGGTTTTTGCCTTGGTCCTGACTTAACAGATAGCACTTAACTGCATTGCACGGGAGGGGACAGCCCCAAACTCAGTGGAGTGAGGGAAGGAGGGAGTTTCCAGCCACAGCACACAGTGTGGGCTGAGCCTTTAGACAGGACATGCTTCCCCAGACAGCATTTTAAAACACAGTATTTCTCCTCAAGATTGCCAAGCACTAAAGCAGGCTGGAAATTTGCTTCCAACCTCTGCACCGGGCGCTTCTATGGGAACAAAGTTCATCTAAAACTTGCAGGCAGGTAGATTAGCCTTTCCATAAACCTAAAAATAGCCCTGCAATCTACAGAAGCAGTGCCAGATGCCTTCAGTCCATTTGTAAGAATCGGGGGGGAGGTATTAATAGCCCTGTCCCCATGCACCATCCTCACTGAAAGCAACACTCCTCTGCCTCTCGGTATGCATTACAGCACGGATGCGGTAGATGATAATTTTGACTTTTCCCCCATCTCCAACCAGAAAACACTTCTAACACAAGCAATCATGACAGTGAAGGAGAAAAGGAACGGGGAACTGATGACTTTTTAAGCTTGCAAGCAGTGGCTTGTCAGGAATATAAGGAATTATTTAAATCTTGATCTTGTTTCCAGTGCAAGAAGATTCTTCCACCACCCTGACAGGGAGGAAGAGCCAATTGTGAGTAATGGGGCCACAGAAGTGTATTAACTCTGCTGCTAGCAAAGCACGTGTCTTTCCAAAGGCAAAACCCAATCCATCAGAACAAGGAGCAACAAGAGAGGAGGGAACATGACCCAGCAAAAGCCAAGATGCAAAGCATAAAACCACCAAAACATATGGGAAAGAAAAAGAATCCCACTAAATTTTGTAGAAAGGACTCCCCTCCCCAAAGGAGGGGGCAGCATGCAGGAACCCAGGGTACAGACATGTGGAGGACAAACTCCCCTGAGAACCCTGTGTCAGCAGATTCACTTCCCAGCATGAGGCCGTGCTTTGCATCGTGGTGATTTTCACAAATTAAGCAGAAAGTTTTCTGTTGATGTCTTCTGGGTTTCCCCAAGCTCAGCTTCACACACCTCGCCTTGTCCTGTGCAAAACTACAGTGCTGCAGTGATAGGGAAATGCTCACAAGGGTGGTTGAGACAGGCAGGAAAAGTGAGCATCCCTCTGAGAAACCGCCAACCACCCTCAGTGTCTCCTGCTCTTCAAACCAGCAAGCTTGCAATGTCTAGGTCCTGTTAACAGGCCTCCTCCCCCGGGAAGGATTACTTGCACAAGTAAAGATGGGCTTTTACATGTGGCCACACACCCTTTGGTCTGCACTCAGTATCTTGTTTCAAGCCAAGGTAGCATCTCTAAAGCACTGAACCTGCTGTTTCTCCTTGCAAACACGCTGTCCAGGGAGCCATGGTGACATTGCCTCCCTCCCACCTGAAGGAACATAATCCATCCAGCTGGGCAAATTCCCTTACAGAGTGCTAATATTTAGTGCAGCTGAGGGGGGACTATTCCTGTTCCCTGTGTCCAAGGCACCAATTCCTGTGACTCTATCACCTTCCCACCATCCTTCTTACCTCTGTCTAGAAATTGCCACTTCTATACCTCACCAGACCGATCATCTGAAGCATCTCTCCAGTCTTTCTCTGCTGTTAAATGGAGCTTGTGAGCAACACCAGGATACCTGCCTTTGGGTGATGGATTTTCAAAAGAGATGGATAAATACCAGGATGGGAACATCCAGAGAGGGTCCAAGGGAAGGGTGATGATGGAGTATGGGCTCCAGGTCTGCAGCACAGCCTCCATGAGTTTCTGCTCACTATCACGGCATCCCTACCCAACCCACACTTCCACCACTCTCCTCTCAGATAATTACCGGTGAGCAGCACTATCATCTTAGCTTCTGAGATGCTTCAAGCACTTGAGCTGAATGCAGCAAAAATCAAACCAGATTATAGGTGCTTTCTACCTTTTTTTTTTTTCTGCAGAAGGACCATAATTCACAGCTCAGGTGACTCCTGCCACGTGTCACTGCAGACCAGCAGGGCTGTTATGTTATTATTTGGCTCTCCTGCAGGAAGTGGGATAATTGTGCTATTCCTTTATCAGAGAAAAACACCTATCTTTAGGCCAAGTGTTTCTTAAAGATAACATTGTACAATCCTTTTGATTTCATCAAGCCAATGTATTTGCAACTGCTGATAAATACGAACAGAACAAGAACCTTAATGAGATCCTTTAATGAAAAGCTGTCAGCAAATTAGACTGCTGCGTCCATCCAAGTGTGCAGTAATTGTTCCGCCTTAAAAAACACGGCGCCCCATTTGTTAACATGTCCAAGGTATTACTCAAGAGAGGGAGGGGGGGAATAAATGTCACAGAAAGCAAAAATTGATCAAAAGTCATAACGCATGGCTAAGTCTAGAGTCCAGGCCCAATTCCCTAAATCCACTGCTGCCACTGCTGTGTGACAAACCCTGAGAAACTGGGAATTGGGCCTTTGCATCTGGGGGGACACTGGGATGGGGAGGAAGAGCCTGAGCTGGTTTCCAAAGTAAGACTTTTCTGAAAACAATCAGACTGCTTACATACATTCATAGATAATGGAGAATTTTGCCCTCTAAAAGAAGCCAAATTCACCAATCTGAAAAAAATGTCTAAGTTTCAGCAATTCAGAGATACACTTAAAAGAGAAGCATGGGAAAAAAATTGGGAACTAAAAGCCAGCAATGAAGACAACACTGGTTTAAACCTATCCAGTCTGGAAGAGGAAGCGAAAGTAGTTCTAAAAACAGACAAAATGAAAATAAACACCAGAAAAGGTGTATTAGGAGCAGCAATGAATACAAGTTAGAAAGTTGCCCAAGGACAGAGAAGGACACACAGGAAGCCCAAAACTCATGGACGTAAGAAAAATAAACAGATTTTTAAACAACATCCAAAACCAAATGCAAAACTGGAAGCCTAGCACCATGACTGGCTGCTGGCAGGAGCACTGGCCATGGCTGGGCAGAAAGTGCAACACGGAGGCTCAGCATTGCTGCCTGGGGTCACCCATCCGGGTCCCCAATGCTGGATGCAGGAGCCTGGCACCCACTTGGTCCCTGGAGTATCATTTGGAAAGTGGCTAGAAGAATAAAAGGGGGCTGGGATTGGTGGGATGAAAGCAGCCCCGTTCCAGCCCCTCCACAACTGCAGCTATGGGTGGGCTTTCTCTCAAACCTTGCCCTTAGATAAGTTGGAAATGTAACTTTTATTTAAAGTTAATTAATCTAAGGAAAAGAAATTAGCAATGCCTGTGGGGGATTCTTCTTTGAAGAAATGTTTCCCAAGTATCTTTGATCTTTTCAAGAGAGCTCTAGTTTGAACACCACACTAAGACCTCTAGAAGAAATTAGTTTGGGGGACTCATGGGGCTGATAGGCGCAGCTCTCCAGCCCATGCTGTGTAGGAACTTGGTGCCTGCCACTGCCCTGGTCCCATGTGGGTTTATCTCTACACACTGCAAGGAAATCATGACCTCGTGAAGAAAACCAGGCAGCTCCCAGAGACTGGAGCACCACAAGACCTGGATCAGCCCAGCACTGAACTACTGCCTCTCACAGCTCTCAACACCAGTTGGCCAAACAAGCCAGAGGCCTGGGATAAAGATGTGGAAAGCCAAGAAAAGAAAGGACAAAGAAGCAATTTATTTTCCGTGCCTCTGGGATAAGCCATGGACATCAAGCATAGGAAAATTCCTTTTGTCAGCTCATCCTCCTCCCTGCATGCCTG